ATATATATATACACACATACATGTGCAGACTAAAGTAAATGGCATTTAAGTAATGAATTCTGAGCGGGAAACCATAAACCTTAGTATTTTCTTTGACATGTTGGCACTCGTAAAAYCATATTAAAATGGTGAAAATCRTGCAAACTGAGGCTCAAAAATAATCAGAAAGTGTTAAGCCTTACAYGTGAAAGGKAATTCATTCTGATTTTGTTTGGACATCTAAACATTTAAAACATTTCCAAGCTGCACAACTGTGAGACATTTTGCTTCCTCTTCTCTGCCACCTCCAATATGGCGGCAACATGTTTATGTCATTCAGCTTCCAATAGGCCGTCTATCCATGTCTGAGTTAAACTGTAAAAGTGAATCAGCTGTAGACTTTCAGGCCATGATTACTCCTCAGAGTTTAATCAAAATCCTCCCGCTGGTTCAGACAAYATTCTAACAGATGTTATTATCGGTGGTTTGTCTTCAGCTGTCCTTAGAGTCAAACACTTTTCTGTGCGTCATCACTGGCATTCAGCTCCTGGACCTGGAGACGATGATGGCTGCAGTTAYGGAGCACCGGTCCGGTCCAAAGCGACTCCTCTGACCGGTGGAGGAATAATGAGCCTCTGGCAGCATCTTCAGCCCAGGAGGTTGGCAGTAATGTAGCAGAAAATGAGTTTGTTTTACCTTTCAAAGCTCCTCCTTCAGCCAAAAATTTAGGAAATTTTTTTTTTTAGGAGATAAAATTAGAAAYGAGTGAGGCAGATCCTCATCCTCAGCATGGGTCGCCGATCCGGTGGTCTAGCTGTGCTGGGGTGGGTTCGGGCTTGGCATGGGGGGCTTAGGGTTCTGGGGTCGTGCCACCCCTGGGCAGCGGTCTTGGTGGGACTTGGGGGGCTTGGTACCCTGGTGCCAGGCTCTGGGCTGTGGGCCTTTGGTGCACTGGTGGGCCAGGGGGCGGTAGTGGCTGGGTGCARGACCCCGGTGACCCATGGAGTGGGTGGGTCAACCCAGCCTGGGTGTCTAGTGTGCTATATGTTCTGAGAGTTGTACGAATGTTGGGGTGGGTGTAGTATTTCTTCWGGGGTGGGGGGTGTGTGGATGGCCTTTGGTGGCGGCCGGGGGCTGTGCAGGGGCAGCTGGTTGGTCCCTTAGAGGTGGCGGGGCTCGCTCTGTGGTTATATAACACAGGTAATCAGAAATATGTTGGTAAGAGCGGTAAACTCTGCAGTGATGACAGGTCCGATTCTTGTAATATGTGGAACCAGCAGGTCCAGTTACCTGTCAGGAAGACGCTCCGAGCTGATTCCTCATCAATCATGGCTCAGGTGAGACGATCCGTCAGGTGACTTCCAATAAAGAGCAGAACGTGTTTCTATTGCTTCCAGTTTCCAGACACTGAAGACCGCATTGTTCCAACRTGAAGGTGATGAAGAGGAGAAGAATGCAGACAGGTGTTTTAACAGGTGTTTTAACAGGTGTTTTACCGCCATGTTGAACGTGATTCTTCAAAGTCAACAAACCTGTTTGATCTTCACTTCAAATACAAACAAAACATCAAAGAAAAAAACAACTAAAGAATAAAAAACTGTTTCTGCTTTAGAGTCGACTTAAACTGATCAACATGTCCACAGAGACAGGACTGTCTCTGAAACCCACATTGGACCCTGTTTTTATGAAGACCCCCTCTACTGTAGACCTGGTTCTGGTGAAGTCCAGTCCTTTGACCGTCAACAGGTTAGTTGTTTTAGACAGGATGACATTTGACCTCATCTTTAAGGACTATTGTGAGTCTTGTGGACTGTTGGTGGTCCGGTGTCCTCTTGGTTKTCTTCTATAAAGTCCACTTTGTCTCAAAGAGACTGATGGTGGGATCTGGTGACCTTGGAGTTCACCTCTAGTCTCATCAGTTGTCCCCTTGTGGACAGGGAGGTTGTCTCCAGTCTTATGGACCCTCTGAATAATCTGAGCGGGTGTAGACACAGGACATCAGCTGCTGGGGGACAGTCTGATAGTCTTTACCTTCAACACAATGTCCATCATTGAGACCCTCTGTCCTCGGCTGAGACCTTCTGTGGTCTTCCAGCAGACCTGTGGAGGACAGAGGTCTCAGCAGACCTGTGGAGGACAGAGGTCCCAGCAGACCTGTGGAGGACAGAGGTCTCAGCAGACCTGTGGAGGACAGAGGTCTCAGCAGACCTGTGGAGGACATGATGTTTATAAAGTCCTGTCTGGATTGCTCACACACCTGGGCCAGGTGTGTGAGCTTCCTTCTGTTATTCTGGGTCTAAATATAAAGAAGAAGAAGCAGGAAGTCCTCTGGTCTCATTTTCTAGTTAATTAATTTTTAATTCTGACTCATCTAAATGTTGGATAACAAATACGGGAACACGTGTGGCACGCAGTCAAACAGGTAATTAATTATGTTACCAGGACCCAACATTATGTAAGGTGAGAATGTTTGTGTGCGTGAGGGGGCGGGGCTGGAGTCTGAGATTATTTAAACTCATCCCAGAATAGAGAATAGACAGAATAGAGTTGAGCCTAACTTGCAGGTATGTCTTTCTCCCAGGTGATCTGTGTTCTGACTGCACTGACTCTTCTGACCAAAGAGTCCGAGTCTCAGTTAAACATCTGTGGTCGACCTCAACTCAACACCAGGATAATTGGAGGATCTGTGGCTCCTGAAGGCAGGTGGCCCTGGATGGCCTTTGTCCAGATCCCATCTAGTTTCTGTGGAGGATCTCTGATCAACAACCAGTGGATTCTGACTGCTGCCCACTGTGTCCGAGGCAGAAGCTCAGGTGAGCTGAAGGTGTTCCTGGGTTCAAACCTGAGGCAACCCATCGTAAATCAAGTTTCTCAAAATCCTGAAATCAATTCATACAGAGTAGCTCAGATCATTGTTCATCCAAACTACAACTCTGGAAACAGTGATGATGACATCGCCCTCCTGAGGCTCTCCTCACCTGTAAACTTCAACGCCTACATCTCACCTGTGTGCCTGGCAGCTTCAGACAGCACCTTCTACAGCGGAGTGAACTCCATGATCACCGGCTGGGGCCTACTTCAAAATGATGAAAATTCAGTTTTTCCTGCAAGCCTGCAGGAGGTGGATCTTCCAGTTGTAGGAAACAGGCAGTGTAACTGTCACTATGGAGTAGGAAACATCACTGACAACATGATATGTGCCGGGTTGCCTCAGGGAGGGAAAGACGCCTGTAAGGGGGATTCAGGAGGTCCGATGGTGGTTCAACAGGGCGATCRATGGATTCAGTCAGGAATCGTGAGTTTTGGGTTTGGATGTGCAACAGCGAATAGGCCAGGAGTCTATACCAGAGTGTCCCAGTACCAGGACTGGATTAACACCCAGATTACCAGCAACCAGCCGGGCTTCATCACCTTTACATCCACTGGGTTCAACAGTGACCATACTGTTTCCTGTCCAGGCCTGGCGCCTGAACCTGTGGCCTGTGGACAAGTCCCGCTGAACTTTCCTAATTCTGCTGGAGGTTCTATGGTGATGGCTGGTGAGTGGCCGTGGATAGTGAGTCTGCAAAAACATGGACAGCACGTGTGTGGAGGGACGCTGGTGTCTGAAGACTTTGTCCTGAGCAGCGCTGATTGCTTYTCAGGCTCCATAAATGTTTCTGACTGGACCGTGATGTTTGGTCGTCTGAATCTGAACGGATCAAGCCCCTCTGAGATGTCTTTCACTGTGATGAATATCATCATGAGCAACCAGACAGAGCCCAACATCGTGGTTCTCCAGCTGTCAGCCAAACCCGCCCTGAGCAACTACATCCAGCCCATCTGTCTGGACTTTGGAAGAAACTTCTCTGAAGGATCCATCTGCTGGACTGTTGGCTGGAGCTCTGGTCAAGGATCAGTTCTGAAGCAGTACCAGACCTCGGTGGTGAACTGTGGCAACACATCACAACCAGGAAGTATCTGCACACAACAGGTGACCCTGGGGCAGGGTGACTCCGGAAATCCCTTAATGTGTGAAAGAGGCGGGGCCTGGTTCCAGGTGGTCGTGGTCCCAGACAGTGTGTCCATCAGAGGAGGGGATGCGCAGACGGACTTTCCTAACTTGAACAATTTTGAGAGATTCCTGAATACAGCACTGGGAGGGTTCTTGTCTCCACCTTCCATCAACACATTGTCCAACACCAACAGCATCAACGTCACCAACCAACCCTCCAACCCAGCTGTCAACATGACAACTGCAGGAAGCTCACCTCTTTTCTCCTCCTTCTACCTGTTCGTCCATCTTTTCACCTGCATTTCATGTGTCCAAGCCTTCATATAAACAAGTTCCTGTGGTCTGATGTCCATGAAGATGAAATGTTTGAACTCTGTCAGCTGAACTCTTGTCTCTGGCTGAGGCTAAACTCAGATCTGAAACCTCAGGTCCCACACCGGGGACGCTTAGTACAACTGGACCAGGTCCCAACCTGAGGACACGTAATACAAGTGGACCAGGTCCCACACCGAGGACATTTAGTACAACTGGACCAGGTCCAGAACATAAAGCAGTTTTTGTACCACAGAGTAAAACCTGTCTCACTGAATGTATCTGTTGAAATGCTTTTGTTGGCTGTATTATACAGATGTATTTGTTCTGTGCCTCCTGTCCTGAATGTGAAAATAAAACTTAAAGATTTTTTCATCGCTTTGTAAGAAAATACGTGTTCAAAGACTGAAGTCAATATGAAAATCACCACTGTTAAATAAAATGATTTGTAGAAGGAATAAAACCTTACAACACCAGAATTCTGGAACTGAGCGAGGTTTAATGTCACCGGAGCTGACAGGAAACCACACTGCCCAAAAACCAGGAAGTACATCCATTTATACATGGTCTTCAATGCCCGCGGTCGCTCCCTACTGACCTACGGCTGAATCACAGGCATTCATTCAAAAGTCTCATCTAATGTCATTAGAACGTTTTCATTACGTGTGTATAATTCAGACATGTAGATTAAACATTGTCAGCATTATAAAAGGAAAACCTAATATAGTGTTGTGTTTTTAACATCAGTGCTAATCTCTGATAACTATAACTTTCTTCAGCTTCACACACACACACACACACACACACACACACACACA